TAACATTAGAATTAACAACCGAAATTGATACAGACTCACCTGATTCCTCGGATTGCATTTGATCAACATGTCGGTTGTGTGTACTTAAGTCATCGATATCTAGAATTCGCACCATAGATTCCCCGACATTCTTCGACACAATTCCTGTGGATGGTCGAAGATCATTTCCACGATAATATGTAACTTCTGCATACTCCAATCATCTCATATGCGATCGAAAAATTCTTCCTTTTAATAGCTTTGATGGAGTCTCTGTCGTCAGCGAATGTCTGGCATTTCTATATGGTCATACAAGCCACGCTAACCTGCATGTTGATGAAGAATATGGCAACTAAAAAACGAAGCTATGCTAAAAAATATCTAAAAGTTAAGACGTGGCTTGCGGAACTACAGATAGAAATATGACGGGTTGTAATATAAAGGTTGCTGTAGTTAGCCTAGTAACATCGCGACTATGCAGCAATGATGATCAGAATTAGGAAGTGTCAAATCAATGTTGAATCTAATATAGTTCTTCTGAAAACAACACACTCATAATAGTATGTTGTCATTTGCAGCCATGAAACATATTTTGTCACATGAACGGTCTTGGAACTGGTTCATATGAAATATATTCAGCCGGTCTAATTGAAAATATATGCATGCTTAGAAGTAGCAAAATCATGGTAGATCGTTGAGCAAAAAGTAATACTCTACTGGATTATTTTCGAGATCTAGATCATCTGGTTTATTTGACGTATAAAAAACAAGTTGTGACAAATAGTATAGGTTTAAAAGATATATGATTAAGCACGCAGTATTGCAACTAACTCCTGGATGTGAGCGATCATGTTGACTTTTCCACTCGGTTGACTCAGTGCAAATCTAAGAGCCCAGATAAACACTTGGTTCTCACCGTTTTAACAATCTAAAATGAGCTTAAGTTTGCAGAAACGCTATAGCTTTGATCCACCGTAAGTTTCTGGAATACCAAATTCGTTGTTTGGCACTGAAACTCAAAAATCGGAAATTAAGCAGACAGTGGTAGAAATAAGATATATCAGGAAACAGTCCATGGTTTGAAGTAAAGTAAAATGTTAAGTGTCGAAACAAGATGAAGAATTAGATTATAACTATCCAATCCTTGCTTGCATTAATTGCCAGCCTATGTGTATTTATGTCGATCAAGATCCATATTTCCTATTGGTTGATGTTTTAACAAGTATATTTCACTGAAGCATGTAAATACTATTAAGGCTGGTTGATGAGCCATCATAGTTTAAAACAAATATAGTTAATCAGTTATTGGCATCAATCAAGCTATTAAACTGAATGCTAGTCAAAATTACAATACGGTAATACATGTGAGCATTATTAAACAGATTATTAGAGAAGTCGGTTAACATAAGTAAAAATCGATCGATCAACTTAAAGCAAATATCTGAATTAATAACACGCTGCGTTTCTTTAGTCCGTCTCACCAATGTAGATCACTTGCGTAGATGATCTGTATTGAATGATTGGAGACCTACTCGAGTTGGACGAGAATGGTGTGATCAACCAGTTAACTTCGAAGTTAAACCTTGCGGTTTCTACCTAACGTACATTACCCTTTCATCGTATGAAGGTTTTATAGCTGTTTTGATCACCGTACAACACAAACGAAGTTGTTACAAAAATATAATGGTAAGATAAGGTACAAAGAAAATAGTGCGACCACTGCTGAATGAGCCAGACCATGAAGTGCAATTAATTACCAGCCTATATTCATTACGTAACCATTTTCGTTGATGACCACACTCGCAGTTAACAGGAGTAGATTGACGTGCTACAGGGAGTTGCAAGGGACCTGTATAAACTCAGTGCTTATCAGCGGTATCTAGTCGCGATGTGATCAGTTTGAATTTAGACTTGAGATACAGAGGGAGTGAAGTAGTATTGGTTCCTAAGCACACAATTTTCGAAGCTGAACACATGATTACTGAGAAGATTGACACTCAACATGTAACATTTCGAGGTCAGTAATGATGAACGCAGGGACAATGAATCGAGATGCCATGGCTCGGTCATGTGGGTGTGGTTACTCCGTGTAACCTCATGTTTTAGTGTTGATTATATCATTCTCTACCGATCCCAAAATATGTTCTTCAGAAGTGTTAGGAGTTATGTTGCTGATTGTCATGTGCGACGTGTTAGCGTAGAATTTGATGTGACTTTCATGTAATAACTTACAGATTAGATAGCCACGTCATAACATATCTAAAATTTTAGGATTACGTCTATCATTATAGTAGTACTAATACCGAAGTAGACCACAATTTTAAGGGAGTACGCCACACATTGTCCATGCCAAAAATCCCTTTTCTATTGCCCAGTTATAAGTTACTCTAAAAAGAAATCTTCCAAATGACATTTTGGAGCCTTGAAATGTTGTTACGAACTAGTAATAGTCCGAATTGAAATATAGCCTAACAAGTACTAGAATTTGAGGTTCGCTGGCTCGAACTGTATTGTATGACCATTACAGGATCAAAACAAATGACATGAAGCATTTAGTTCTGAAATAATTATATTAATTATTCGTCGTAAATTCATCTGAAGAGACTAAAAGAGGGTTACCTTCCAAACAAGCTACACATGCATATAAATGTATTTAAAAACTTTTGAATTTTAGCGTCCCGTTTGTCTGACCCCCGATTTGTTGGTATGCTAATACTTAAGATAGATACATGTCGGCTACCTTCGCATATAATTATTGACTTAATCAGCATTATAAGATAACGGAATAAAATAAATCAAACACGACAATGGATTTGAGATACGTATATTTCATATGCTCGCTGATCTAGAAAGGTAATCAGATAAACGAAGTAGAGAAGCAGACTTCAGAAGGCAAACATGCCAACTCACTATACTCACTCACTACAAGCAGCTATATGGCACAAAATATATAATGTGTAGTGTGGGAAAGATAGGGATTAGATAATATAATGAACGACAGACAAACACACACACGTACATACGAGGCACATAAGTGTAGATATACAAGAACATAAAAATAGCAATATTGTGTGTGCTGAAAGTCGCAATTTACTATGTACTATGAAACAACAGTTCTTATGAAAGTAAAATGACTCAATTGTCACATGCTAAGTTACTAGGGCTTCTTCAAAAGATAAGATGAATCATGTGAGTATTTATGTGTAATAGATACTACAGAACCAACGTAATAAATAAGTTACAGAGGTATTCGCAAATCAATGGAAAATAATTACTTAACTCTGATTCATGTAAGGTGTAATGGATGTGAAAATTCTTTGAGTAAACACAATAACCCACGCTTGGGGGTTAAACAATGGATGATATGAACGTGTTGAGTTGATTTTATACTTCTGAAAGTATCCTTTGAGGTTCAAATAAGTAAATTAAAACTCATTATCGCATATAAGGGCCTATGGTTATCATATCAGAAAACATCTGCCACTATTGCATAGTTCTATCAGTGAGCCGTGACACTAACCTGACAAACTGGGCATTTATTGGCTCAGAAATATTGATGCACATCATGGGCCATAAATGTTCTGGCTACAACTTCTGTACTAGTTATCTATATTGACTTTGATTTATTTTTGCTAAAAAAATGTAACAGCCGTTGACAAAATATACGATGAACATGAAACGTCTAAGGTTAACAGGTGAGATCTGAAGCAACGAAATTCATTCAAGAGAAAACCAGGTTAATGATTTGAAAGTGAATTGAGAACTTGTGTTCAAATCATTCCAATATCACAATTCATTCTGGAAACATTAGGGAATCATTAACAGTGTAAGAGATATCTTATCAATGATTTATTATGAATTTTGTGAATTTCTGAATTGTAGAATCACTAGTAAGATCTTGAAATATGCCATCCACAGTAAATGATAAAGATCAAATGGTAGTGCACAAATGATATTTCTGAATGATTGCTAGATATTTAAGGTGAGCTTTACTAAAGAAATATATCGTTGTTCAGACGCTTCATTAAGCAGAACTAATTAAAATCAAAATAATGGTAAATAGAGTAATTAAATATTTGAGCAAGAGATCATTTAATACCTCTGGGTAAAAATGAATTTTCTCTGTATTGAGGAGAAACAAAAAAGACTGGCCATACAAGGCCTAAATAACATCTACCTTCATAGTAGGAAATGAATTGATATAAACATTAAAACATATATATTCTTTGAATATACTTCAAAATGCCTACAATACAAAGCAATTAAGGCATTTAGTAGTCGATGTTTCTGATATATACACTGAAATCCGACAATCATTTAATATTAGCTGTTAAACTCTACCGAATTATTTCTAGAACAACCGGTCACCCTAAATAACTATCAAATTTAAAACATTTACCGCTAACATTATCAAATTACAAGTTAATAGCAGGTATATACTTGTTATAAAATAAAGAAGCGCTTATTCAAACACATTTTATTTACAAAATCTCTTTATTTATATTTGAGGAAAAATCAAGTTACAAAAATGCTCCATCTGATGATTAGTAGTAAATTTCCTTATCTGGATTATTTCAGTTAGAGCTTACTTCGTTATGTAGTTTCATTATTTTCGCAATATGTATGTGTTCTAAATTACGGCCCCTTACTAATATCATGTGACAAAATCACCAACTAAAATATCGACTTCTATGACGTTATCCCTGAGCTAACTTGAGACATGACACCAATTAACACTAGTATTCATGAGTCACTTCTAAGTCTTTATTGGTCCTCAATTCAGTAGCTTCTCTTTCTACCTTCACTATATGAATATTTTATATATTCATATAAAATATATTCATATATTTTATATGCTGAGGAGTACCACAATAGGACAAAACGGCCATCCAGTGCTTCCAGGTTTTCAATCGTGATCTAACATTAATCAGTTCATGATCTCAATTCAAAAACTTAATAATTTCCACAACCCTACACATTTGAATATCCATTATATATCCCTATAAAAACTAAGCAATTATTTCACATTTCAACATAAATTTTCACTATAAAACTGATATTTTTACATTGTGAAAAACGTTTATAAAATAATTAAGATAAACAAAGTATTTTACAAGTACATACATACATACATACAAAATGAAAAATAAGTGAAAATAGCACAGCACAGCACAGCATAGCAACATCACAATACAAGCACAAGCACAACAGTTCCAAAGAAATCAATAATTCTAAAACTTAACACAACATTATCAAATCTTTATTCCTAAAACTTGTTTTCTTTTTAATAATCAAATTTCGAATGTCAAAAAGAAAAAACAAATAAATAAATACATAAAACATTAAAACTTGAAGTGTTTAATCATGTTAATGATTACTTGAGAATACATTTTTTTTGCAAATTTCTCCTATGACAGAATTGTTTTGTCCCGTTTTTTTTACACATAATGTGTTGGAGATAAAATTTCAACAACAAAAAAATAAGAAGATGGGGAGGAGGAAGCGAAAATCACCATAGTGACGATCATAATAAATAACAATCAATATGAAATCATGATATCAATGATAAGTAAACATTAAAAAGTAAATAAATAAACAATGTAAGATTAAATGATTGGAAATCAGTCCAAACAGTACCGTATACACACACACACACACACACACACACTTTTTCATATACAAAATCATATCTAGTTCATGTTGTTATTGTTGTTGACTTTAATTAAACTCTAGAAAGTTGTTTTAATATTAATGGATATAATAATTTGCCAGCATTTAAACCCCATACAAAATCTAAATGATTATATTGTGGAAAATAATGTATGGATGAAATTGTATAATTAATTTGTTTAATAAGTTTATAAACATCATTATAAGATGCAAGCCAATCATGACCACCATAATAAATGATAATAGGTATTTTAAGTTGAGAAATATTATATAATGGTGGATATGATTGATTGTAAATTTGTAAGTTTTTTGTAGGACCATAATCGTATCTTTGAAAGCGATCAGTAACTATACCCTGTAAAAAAAAATTTCCGAATTAAAAAAGAATAACTTATTAAAGTAAGTAAATTAGTTGATGATATTTACTGAACTGTGTCTAATGTCTAGGACTAGACACACATGAAATTGATCGCCACCTAGTGATCGATCAATTGTGATTACATCTCAGTCCTACAGGAGGTCGGTAACGTCTCTGACTGTGAAACTGGGTGACACCAGATCGGATCCGCCAAGGAGCACCAGTTCCCTCAAGATTACAGGTACACCTTGCTGACGAGTGCCAAGTAGCACGAAACCCGGGTCCAGGGTTTCCTGTCGACTACCTCCAACCACCATCTAATCTAAGTGTGTTTGTATTTGTTTTTGTAGATGAAAAATATACTGTGCTTGCAACATCAAGTGGCGGACACATAGGTTTTACCTTGACTGATGGATAAGGTTTGCATATCATGATGATGTAGTCGAGATATACTGACTGAAGCATTTGCTACCACATTAGCTAGGTTAGTTGTAGTGTGATAAAACTGAGAGCAACAAAATTACAGTGCGATAATGAAGTTGTACTGCTCACTGTATAGGGCGGTGACGGCGGTAAAGTGTTCTTCTTAAGCTACCAACACATGCATCTATATCGCCTCCCCACAACAGAAAGAGAAGTTAAAAGTTCAACTCTAAAAATGCCACGCCTTAATTTGTCTTACTGATTGTCAACGCTTTCGGTAAGCAAAGATGGATAGTGACTAGCATTGGAATCCAGGATGTGCGTCTCGTCCTATTTGGGACTCGTCAGCTGGATGTGCCTGCATCTTGGTGTTCACTCTGGGACTCGAACCCAATACCGTTCGCTCCAAACGCCATCGCGTTATCCATTTAGCTACTGAGTCGGTAAGGCTTTCAAGGTGTTGAAACAACAATTCGAAAAACACTCTAAATAAGACTATGTGTGACCGGCCTCAAGTGGTTGTCTTTTGAGCTCTGTGGTCACGCTTCCAGGTTGTTGAGACCATTATCAACCTAGTTTCTGTTCCAGGCCCCTGAAAAAATGACGTTCCGTGGTGTGAGTCATCAGAAAGTGGTAACTGGTGTGTGAGAAAACATTGCAAATTTCTCTGAACTAAATGGTTTAACTGGTAACTTAACGTTAATTTGTTACTGTCATTCAGACTCATTTAGAAGTATTATTACCTATGCTTAATAGATTCAACTTTTTTCATGTTTATAATTTACTTAAAACCTGCAAAACGTTTACATTCACCGATATTTTCAATAATAACTTATATATGTTTAATCGAATAGAAAGAAAAATCTCAAAACAAATTAGTTTACGAAGAATGTTTAGTTCCATGTAACTTGAAATCAACAATGGAATCAGTTATTTCTATTCAATGAATCCTGAATTGAATGCAAAGTGATTAAGTAAGAACTCTTAAATGAAGTCACTGTTAAATAATCTATGTACTGTTCACATAGACAAAAAGAGAATGATAAAGTCACTTCTAAATATCAACAACGAGAGAATGTTTATCTGTAGGAATAACGTAAAGATTTGTTGAAATTTCCTTCAAATATTTTTCAGAAATTTTGAGTATCCTTTAGTGTATGAATCCCATTGATGATCAGTCTAATAAGAAGGTAAATAGGTGAGACTATAATTTATGGACGACCTATGAGCGACGCTAGACTGACCTTGAGAATGTCCACCTAATATCTAAGACCAAATGAGTGTTATAAACCTGTATGAGGAATTAGAATTATGATTTACAGTTGATGGTTAAAGGTTAAGGATCAGATTTAGTGTTTTCATCACGAAGTGACACCAGCGATAATGCCAAAACGCTATGAAGCCAAATGGATGAGTGGATTTCACGCCAAAATCCAAGATCTGTTATCTTAAACCTGATTGGTTCATTTATAAACTATAGATTCGTCAAAAATGTAAAAAATATGATTTCCACCAAGTATTGAACTTCGTAGAAAGATTGATGGAATACTATTTTTCCACACAACAGTTTGAATCTATTTCTAATGACACCATATGTTGTAGATTGAGCAAGATCAAGTGTTAAGGTGAACTATAACTTGAGTAAAGTGAACAAAATATTCGTCATTCAAAGGGACACATTAATTTACACTTTAAGGTCACTAAGTTATGTAAAGCGACCAAACGACAAACCAACATTTAAGGTCATTGGCATATAATGTAATAAATTTCCTGCTTCAGGTTTCGGCACATGTAACTATGTGGTCTGAACATTCTTACTGGACAATTTATTGTACTGTCGGACCAATCGACATAAAACCATACAGTCATTATATCATTTTAACTGTAAGATAATTTAAAAGTGTGGATAAATAGTTTGTAAGGGCTGGTACTATGTCAAGCCCACATAAGTTATTCTGGCCTTTGGACAGACCAATCCAGTCAGTTTTTTCAAGCTACATTTTTATCCTGTCACTTATTCGCTTATTAATCCTGTTTTGTTTTATGATAGTATGTGTGCTAATTAATTACCCTACCCATTATGTGTCTGTAACTTATTTTTGTTCAACTATAAATATCGATTCATGCTAGGTTAAATCGAGTTGACTGACATGACATCTCCGATCCGTTTCGCTTCGCTTCGCCCTCTCCTCCACTTTTTTCGCCACGTTTCTCTGATCACCTGTCTGGATTAATAATTGTATGAAATATACGTATTCGAAATCCATTCACGTATCTAACTTAGTTAATACCGCTGTTAGCTAACGCGATTTGAGTCTTTGGTTACATACCAGAGTTGATAACATGTATGTTTCGATAACAATCAGCAAATGACTGAGTTGGAGTCGGATACCGAGTCACCAAAAGTTAAATACTGTACAGAAAAAATATTTTGAAAAGAGCAAGAACGAGGATCCTAGCAGAAAAGCATGAGTTCATTTCATTTCATCGATTGAATTTGCTGGCATTGATCTCCTACCAGGAAGTCCACTTATCGACTTAGAATACGGAGATGATATAGCCCTGTTTAGTGAAGACGCTGATAAAATTCAGTCTTTTGGTAGCACTGAGCAACAATGCCAGAATGTTAGGGATGCACTTCTTTCCCTCTAAATGCAAGTTGTTGCTTCAGGACTGGCTTGCGTCAACACCTGAACTAAATATAGGGAGTGAAGTAGTCGGACGCGTTGAAAACTTATCTTGGAGGTCTGGTCAGCCCTAATGGGTTGGTATCAGAAGAAATTTCAGTATGGATTCAAAAAGCACGTTTGGCTTTTACCAACCTATGGCGAAGGCGAGTATACTGTGCGGCAGTTCATTCAGTTCTACTTTACAACTGCAAAACGTGGCCATTAAGAGTAGATATTCGAAAGCTACTAATATCCGAACACAGATGTCTTATAATATAAATATTGCTCCCATCTGCTGGGATCACCGGGTAAGTAATAGTGATGTGATGGTAAATCAGTTGGTGAGGTTGTGAGTCTTCATCGACTGAGATGGATGGGACACTTGTTGCGTATACCGGAACACCGTTTACCACGACGCGCAATGCTGACTAGTGTTGAGGATGGTTGGAAGAAGGTTAGGGGCGGTCAAACCAAAACGCGTTATCAGTGCTTAAAGTCACTAACTTCTAGTCTGAGTCATGTTGGTAGATGCAGACTACTTGCTTGGGGTCCGCGTCACTATCGTAGACAATGGTTGGAGACTGTTGGTGACATGACTCAGGATCGATCACAAAGGCGTAGGTGTATACATTCTTTGTCTTCCTTTAAACTAAGAGATTAGAATCGCTTTATATCTTTCTTTCTGCCAACTAATTCTTTCTCTCTGTACTATATCCTTACTGCAATCTTTCGTTTATATATTACAACCTCTGAATTAACTACTTCTATGAATTTGGTGTTCATCTTGTTGTGTTAATGAGGTATGTCAACTTGGTGCGATGCACAAATGTGCCTGGTCCTACGTTGTAACCGACTGATTTCGTTAGATTCTGGTCACCTGCTTACAAACTATGGTTTTGAAAACATAATTACAAAGTGGGTTTAAATTACTTACGTGAGAGTTTATTTGCAAGTTATGTTGATGATACATTAGTATGGTTACAAATAAATCTAAGAGTCGTAGAAATTTCTTTTACATAAGGTATATATTTAGAATATTTTATTCAGACCATCAAATTTATATACACCCTTGCTCTTCTTTATTTACGTGTCTTCAATATAACTCCTAACGAAACTTTCATGTAAGTAATTTAAACCTACTTTGTAATTGTTTTAAATACCATAATTTGTAAGCAGATGACCAGAACCAAACTGTTGGGGTGATAAAAAAAACTCGAAAAAAGCCAAAAAGTGCTCTGAAAAGACTGAGAAACATCTTATCCAATCAGTGTTCGCTAGAAGTTTTTTTTTTCAGAAACATCAAGAAAGTGAAAAGTCACATGTCGAGTTTCTGATTGAATGATTACTTATACTGTTAGTAGGCTTAGTAGCATTCAAAAATTCTCCGAAAACCCAAGGATATCTAAAATACTATAAAAACCCTAAATTTTCTGCACATAAACGAACCTTTCGAGTAAAGTGTTTCTTACATATTTCTCGCTTTTTCTCTTGTGTTCAAATTGCTGTGTAGATCTAACCTGAGGGTTACTAGAAGAGCTTAGGAACCAAATCTAGCGTTCAGTTAGCAAGACTCATCACAAACGAAATGAAATGAACACATGCTATTCGGTTAGTATTTTTGTTTGTTGATCTTTTTTAAAATGACAAAGGGAACTACGTGTAAGGAGAAATATTTTTGAATAAAGTAATTACTGATATTGATTAGTTTTTGTGATATAATGGGTTTTTTTTCTCAATGTGAAAGATCACGTTTCGTCTTTTGATATTTCATTGTTCAACGAGACATAAGAAGTGAATTGAAATGCAATAAAAATTGATGTCAGTTCGTATGCGTTGTCAGTCTATATTTGATTTTATAATCGTACCAATCTGCTCAGTCCTTTCCTTTACGTATTTTCAAATATTATCAACGTGAATACTAACTACTTCAACTGTCAAGATAAAAGTTTAATACTTGAGATGATGAGTCAATTGAAGCTACGTCATCATAGAACGCCCGGGAGCACGGGACGGCCGTTTCGTCCTATTATGACTCTTCGGCAGTGCGCATCCACGATGCCGCTCGCGGGACTCGAACTCAGGACCTTTGGTTTTGAGTGCGAACAATTAGCTTTTAAACTACTGGGTCAGTACCAACAGTGTTAATGCTGAAGAGTCCCATAGTACGATGAAACGACCCTCCGGTGCTTACAGGTTTTCCATGATGGTCTAGCTTCAATTGACTCATGATCTCAACTACTGAAATTCCTATCATATCCACAAAAAACCCATCTGATACAAAAGTTCATTGTCATATAATATTCACATTAAACAGGATGAACATATACTAATAATGACTGATCAATTGAATTTCTCAATGAAATTATGCAAACCTTTGCAGAAAAAAATTATAACGATTTTTTTTAATGACTCACTTGACAATAATGTACCATATTTTGAACTGATGTTCCAGCTGGTGTATGTGCAACATAAATTGGTAAACGACTCTATGATCCAAAAAAAAGGCATGAATGAATGAATTCATTAAATGAAATTAAACGTTCGGTATTTAGAAAGTTATCAAAACTAAGAAAATTTTTTCATTTTTGGGGGGGGAAGGGGGGGTAGAGCTATGATAAATAGGCTTATTAACACATCAACTTCATTAACCACATTTTTTTTTAATAAAGAAAATAAAACGATATTGTAATATTTGCCTGACAACAATTACTCGTTTGTTAAATTAGCTAATGATAACATGGATATTGATTTATCGGTTTGTATATTTGAATTACATGAGAATTGTTGTTTGAGTGAAAGAAAAAAAAACAGGCTTTAAAATGGTGACAGTGTTAAAGTTACGTCAATTAGATTGATTGACATTTCATTTTTAAAAAAGTGATAGGGGGGGTATTTTACTTTCCAAATTAAAAGCATGTAAATAAGTCAAAGTTTTTTTTCCTTTTTTTGAATTAGTTTTATGCAACAACAAAAAATAACAACCTCTAACTGATAATAAAATCTCAGATCTAAAATAAATTAACTGATTATAAAATGGTTCGTTATTATTTACAAGCAGATTAGATGTAATTCATTGTGGATCTCGATGGTGACTTCAGTTCATTGAAATATTTTTCTTAAGAAATATGTTTCTTAATATCAGATGGGTTTTGTGGATATTATAGTAATTTCAATAGTTAAGATCATGAGTCAGTTGAAGCTAGACCACCATGGAAAACCTGGAAGCACTGGCTGATGGCCGTTTTTTCCTCTTGTGGGACTCCTCAGCAGTGCGCATCCATGACCTCGCCTCCTGTGAGATTCGAACCCAGGACCTACTGGTTTCGCGCGCGAGCACGTAACCACTCGACCATTGAGCCGGCATCGAATGGTGTTAATGTCTAACTTCAACTAATCCACGAAATTGAGCGACACATCCACCATTGTCTTCAGTGAGTTACTATCTCACAACAAACCTGGTTATATGTATTTATTAACAGCAAAGAATTTCTAGTGAGAAGCAGTGACCAGTGGAGTTCAACGCAGTCAGTGGTCTAGCTTCAACTGACTCATGATCTTAACCATTGAAATATGTTTCTATTGTTATTCTTGAGATGCTGTTACTTTCAGTTACATATGAAATAACACTAATACATCATTCCTCACATATGAAGATTTAATTAAAAACATTTGAAAGATTCAACATTATGATTAAATAATATTTACAGGAGATTGTATTCTAGTTATCAATTAATTTTGGTTTCATTTACTCGGTTTTAAGTTGAACTTATGTCAGAATGAGGATTTTTGGAGATCGTAGTAATTTTAATAGTTCAAATAACAAACCGATATAAACTAGACCATCAATGAAAATCTAGAAGCACTGGATAGCCGTTTCGTTCTAGTATGGGACTCCTAAGAAGTGCGCATCGACGATCCCGTGCACAGAACTCGAACTAAGAACTTTCGGTCTCACACGCGAACACTTAACCTTTAAACCATTGAGTCAGTAGCAACGGTATTAATGCTGAGGAGTCCCATACTAGGATGAAATGGCTATCAATTCAACTATTAAAGTTAAACTGATGTATTAGATATGGGCATATCTAATAGTTGTTAAAGACAGATTTAAATATACAACAGATGACATTAGAACTCTTTAACCGATAAGCCAATGATCCTCAAGATTATAAGTTATTTTTGACCGCATTTCTTTAACAATGTACAATATATATTTATACTCTTCTTTAAATGGTTTATTTAATAAACTCTGTTAATGTGTGGAAACAAATCTTGTCATACTCAATCAGTTTAGGATAAAGTGTTTAAATTAGAAAAAAAGGATGTATGGACTTGAAACTGGAAATTTAGATATATATTGAACTATAATGAAAATAAATTGTCTATATACGTCAGAACTCAAAAAAATACCTCAGTCAGTCAGCTCCAACGTAAGACCAGGCAAATTTGTGCATCGGTTCAAATTGACATACCTCACTAGCACAACAAGACCAACACCAAATTCATAGAAATAGTTACTTCAATGGTAGTATTGCATAAAAAAAGATTGCATTTAAGGATGCAGTACAAGAAGAAAGAATTAGTTCGTAGAAAGAAAGATTGTGGTATGTGCTGCTTATATTGGTAAAAGTAGTATATGACGCTAATTAAAAACGTAATGTCTGGCAGCAGAAGATCGGAGATCAAGAAAGGAAGAGCGGAAACACAATGCAATTTATAAGAAAACGCGTGAACGATGAAATGTGAGACAATGGATTGATGTTTGCAACAGGAACAGTCCGGTTTGATATGATGGTTTAATATTTTGCAAATTAACGATTTACTATATGGTGTTTCTATTTTACCGAGTAACTCTGTAATTTTATGTTACATACATTCGGTTGTCCCCACCTGTGTTCTGTTCACCACAAGATATTGAGCAATTTTAATCCCATAGTTTAAAAGAATTTAGGGAATGTATACATCTGCGCCATTGTGATCGATTCTGAGTCATGTCACACACAGTCTCCAACCACTGGTTACGATAGTGACGCGGACCCCAATCAAGTAGTCTGCATATACCAATATGGCGCAGACTAGAAGTTAGTGACTTTAAGCACTGATAACGCGTTTTGGTTTGGTCACTCCTAACTTTATTCCAACCATCCTTAACACCGGTTAGCATTGCACGTCGTAGTAATCGGTGTTCAGGCATACGCAAAACGTGGCCCAACCATATCAGTCAATGAAGATTCATAACCTCATCAACTGATTCACCATCATTTCCCAATACGCTACATCTAACCTCACTATTACTTACCCGGTGATCCCAGCAGATGGGAGCAATCTTCCTGAGGCATCTGTGGTCGAATATTAGTAGCTTACGAGTATCTTCTACTCTTAATGGCTGACCACGTTTTGGACTTGTAAATTAGAACTGAACGAACTACAGCACAGCATACTTGTCCCTTAATTAATAGACGGGTATCTCGCCTTCGTCCTTTTGTGGTCACAATCAACACATAGTTATTTAAACCTTATCACTCAAGAAAAATGTGCTACTTACAGGAGGGTCAATAGAATTTTTTGAACAAGACTACGTTTTGAATATGAATTGATAAATCTAATGTTTGAATGCTATTAAAATCTTCCGTAGGAATGTTTTCAAGCGTACTAATGAAAGTCTTATAATCATTTTGCCAAATTCAGATAATGTGAAGCCATAAATGTTGTCTATCTAAGTCAAACATTTCTTGTGTCATCAGGATGTTAACATCCTGTAATTTGTGATTTTAATCAAAACTTCTTTCTAAAAGACTGGACTGTGTAGTCTTCTACAAAGGTATATTAACATACTTCAATTGATTTACACAATTTGAGATCTTTCAGGACTGATCACATAACTGGAAATTTATTTTTCATTAGGCAGTTTAGCAGAATACGGTGTACTTAGTTAATCAGATAATATTATATAAGTTTAGTCAGTACATCTTGTTGCCTTTTGTCAGCCAAATGAAAACTGAACAATCATTACTAGGAAAAAGTGTGATCACTTATTTAAATGAGTGGAAAATTTGCTTTACAAGTAATATCCGAGTGTGTGAAATTGCCTGAAGGATTATTTATTTTTTATATTACAAATTTTAAGAATCGTCTTGGAATATGTTTGTTCGAAATAGTTTATTTTTATGTCTGGTTGTTACGAATTCAAAGACTCATTCATGTGGATAACATAATGGCGTTTGAATAGAACAGTACTGGATTCGAGTCCCAGAGTGAACATCAATTCAGAGATGCATGAACATTAAGCAGACGAGTCCCAAATAGGACGAAACGCGCGTCCTGTATTTCACTGCTAGCCACAATCCATCTTTGACTCATTATTCTGTTAACATTTTTTCAAATTCCAATTTAACTCAATGCTAAATTTGGAGTATTTCGAAATTTTATTGATTATTCTTGGTTTAGCAGCATAATAGGTTTTCTTGATGGCTACTTTCCAATCTCTGTCTTAAAACTATGCTATTGAATTCACCTCTATATGGTAGATAGATAGATGTAAATTCTTTTTCTTTCGAACTGAATAAACGAGAGATGTTGGTGTTAACTGACCTTTGCACCTATTAATACACTATAGTGGATAACCATTTGATATTAATGTGTCAGTCAGCAACTTTTCACCTTTTTGAACCGTATCAGTAGTGTGAATTCTTTGAATCCTATTAAAGAGACACTTAATCAAGCCTCGCTTGTATTGCAATGGACATAAACTATAGAAATTTAAGTATTGCCCCCTCCAAGTTAGTTTCCTATAAACTGACCGTCTTATAGTACCATCCTCCCTTCGACTCAAAAGTATGTCTAAAAATGGCAATCGATCATTATTTTCTGCTTCATAAGACATTACGATATCGTTTTGAATCCCATTGAGTTTATTCAATAACTGGGAAACCACAAAATCTTTATCACATATAACTAGTACATCATTCATGTATCTTCCATACACAGTTGCCAATAAGTGTCAAATGATCCGATCAGTGTGGGAGGTAGAAAACCATATTCATCGATAACAAAACATCTAATTGAAACAGAGCACAAAATTGACATTAATACAGCTTTTAAAACGTTGTATAGAAATTATCAAAGAAGATTTCTCAGGTTTATTGAAGTCTTGGCTATTCGTAAATTTAAACTCCCTTTTATGTGTACAAAAACAATTTGTCATAACCTTGAATTTATTTACTTTTGTTTAATTTCTCATAAAGATGAATTAACTGCTAATAAATCCAAAAGTATTTCATTTCAAATTGCTTTGATAATATGTAAAATTCTATAACTAACCAGTCCATTAACAAAATGACTAGAATTATGTGTTAAATTTGATATATTTGTTCAAAGCTTTCATAGAAATAAATATTTGTTTTTGTCCTTTATATATATATATATATATACAGAAAGAGAGAGTGGAGGGGTGAGAGTGTGTTGGAGAGAGGGAGAGGGAGAGAATGAGTGACAGAAATGTGAACAGTAATAATTTGTCTCATATTACATGTAAAACTAAAATGTCCAAAATGTCATAATACTAATTACAAGGTCATGTAATTAATATAAACATGCGAGTACAGAAGTTTACATTTTAAAAAAAATATGATTATCATTGTATTGAAACTAATCATTTAGTGAAATTATTGTATAGTATTGTAATGATCGAGAACACAAGTGAGGACAATCGTATGTATTTGGACATTAAATTACAGAATCTCTTAGTAAAATCTTAGAACCATACAATGAATGCTTCGTTTGCAAAATATCAGTCAATTATCTGACTTTACTGTTCCTTCATTTTCACACCCATCATTCTCTTTTCTCCGATCTGCTTAATCTTCTGCCGCCAGGCATTTCACTTTCAAGTGATGATACATACTGCCCATATCCGTTGACATCAGTAGTACACACCACAGCATGTCTTTTGTTCATATATAACAACCCTAACTTAATTATCGGGTACACATTTCTCACATCTTAATGCAGTAGAAAAGTTATGAGTTGTTAAGTCTACTAACCATAGTTACAGTTGAAAGAACTGGAGTTAAACATTCTTCTTTATCCCTATCTTAATAAGACCATAGAGGCAAACAGGAATGATCAATATTTTTCAAGGACACTGTTTATTAATGACAACTCGGATAACAAATTTTCATAAACGCATACTTATTTTCATGGGTTTAAATGAAAAACTTCATACTTTTTTCTTCACTCTCTTCGAATTTTAAACATGGGATTTTAGAGATTAGATTTTTTACACTAAAATCACCATTACTTACAAGCATATCACTTTACAATATAGTAGTTGTGAAGTTTACTAAATTTTTGATTGAGATCATGAACCGATTGATGTCAGACCAATTTTGGAAACCTGGAAGCACTGGACGGCCGTTTCGTCCTATTGTGGGACTCAGCAGAAGCCGTGACCAGTGGAGCTAATCCGTGTCGGGTAGAGACAGGTATCTACCTCAGTACAATGGAAGATGGTTGCGCGATTTCGTGAATTGGTTGATGTTAGACACTAACATCGTTAGATGCCGGCTAAGTGGTCCAGTATGTTAAGCGTTCGTGTGCGAGACTGAAGGCCCTGAGTTCGAGTCCCAAGAGCGGGATGGTGGATGCGCACTGCTGAGGAGTTCCACAATAGGACGAAACGGCCGTCCAGTGCTTTCAGATTTTCAACAGTGGTCTAACACCAATCGGTTCAGGATCACAATCATATCACTTAAGTTAACTTACTGATTCCATCACATGAGAACAGTGTGTCTATGGTAAATACGAAGGAATACATGTAATCTGTATATATCCTTTTATTTCATTGAACTTACTGAACAAATACAGAACTTCATAAAGCAGACTACTTCACAAAATGACTATCATTATATTAACTCTAGAATGTTTATGCAACAATATGAGAGATGTAAATAAGGGAACAATAAATAAATATTTTGAATATATTTAGAAATAAATATATGTATAATAATACTTATTAAAGAGCAACTTACCACATTTGTATTCTTAGAATCATATCCAGCAATTAAATACATTATATTACTACACACAAAGGGAATATGATTTGGTTTGCATAAGAATAATGCTAGAAATTGCATAATTTTACCTGAAGGTAAAAATTCACCATTTCCAAACCATTCAATAACTGGTTCGACTGTTTTTGCAAATGGTGCAATATAACGTATAGGACTTTTAATGGAACCAAGGTAAGCAGCTGGTGCTAAGGCGATGAATAAATTAATAAATGATTGCATCATAGGATGTTCATCAAAACATGCCAAAATAATTTGACAGCCCTGTAGGAAAAAAAAACAAAAAAATTTTAATGGTTGAATTCATGAAACGATTTAAGCCAGACCATCCTGATAAACCTGTTCTAGCTTAAATCGACTGATGAATTCAGCCATTACATTATTACAATTTCCACAAACCATCATTCTGACGAAAAAAGATTCATCGGTAGTGAGTTGGTACTGCTGCGAATAATTATAATTAATTGATGAAAAAAATATTTGAAGAACCTTATGGAAGCATCTTCGCTGCCACCCCACCAACAAATAAAGAAATAAGGATGACCATCAGACAGATCAAGAGTGGGAAAGCAGCAGCAGCAGGACCTGAAAGTATACCGACTGAAGCATTGAGGTTAGATATGGAAGTAACCGCAAACATGTTCCATGTTTTATTTGGGAGCAATTAGGAGAAAGAACAAGTGCCGACAGACTGGAAAGAAGGATAGCTCATCAACATTGCCAAAGAAACGAGATTAGAGCAAGTGGAAGAACTATACAGGCACAACACCACTATCAGTACCGAGAAAAGTTCCCTGACCAGTGGTGTTGAATTGAATGAAAGATTCAGTATACCCCCAACTTCGGGATCAATAGGCCAACAGACCAAATCGCGACACTACAGATCAATCAGTTGAATGTAATTCGTACCTACACATCAACTTCCTTGAACATGAGAAAGCGTTTGATAGTGTGGATAGGAGAATGTTAAGGGACCTTCTTCGACACTATATGGTAAGTAGATGAGAAGATCGTAAACATCATATAGAATTCATACGATGAACTGCAGCGAAAAGTCGTGAATGGAGGACAACTGACAGATGCATTCTGAGAGAGGACCGGAGTCAAATAATCCTTCATCTTTCTTCGGGTGGTCGACTGAATTATGAAGACATCCACACCTGGTAGGAAGCGCGGAATACAATACATAGCATTCATGCAATTAGACGATTTGGACCTCGCAGACGACCCAGCTCTTCCACCTCATACGCAACATCAAATGCAGACGAAGAAAACTAGTGCAGCAACAGCACCTGTATCAGTAGGCCTAAACATGTACAAGGGAAAAAAGCAACATCCTCAAATACAACACAGAGAACACCAACTCAATCACACTTGGTGGTGAAGCTCTTGATGAGTTGGGAACTTTCACCGATGAACAAGGACAACCTCATCGACAAGCAAGGAGGATCTGATGTAGAAGTAAAGGCAAGGATTGGCAAAGCAAGGTAAGCATCCCCACAACTGAAGAACATGTGGAATTCAAAACAACTATCAACCAATATCAAAGTCAAAATCTTCAATACGAACGTCAAGTCAGTTAATTCTATTGTACGGAGTTGAAACTCAAATAACTGCTACAACTATCATCGAATAGTACAAGTATTCATAAACAATGAGTTATGCAAGATACTGAATGTCCGTTAGTGAGATATCATCAGCAACAGCCTACTGTGAGAAAGCATAAACCAGATTTCCGCTGAAGAAAAAGTTAATAAAAGATGTTGGAGGTGGATAGGACACACATTTAATTTCATAAAGATAAGTTTTTCATAACATGATCAAGGGAAATCCAAGTGTTAAATGATATATATATATATATATATATTGCAAGGAGGGTTTAGAAAATTTCTTTCTGACGACGAAATTTGACACATTAGATCCTTAATAGTACATAACTAAAGTCAGTAGTATAAAATTTTACCGATGTGTTATGTACGATTTGTTCGAAAAACTAAAAAGCATAAAGAAAACATCTGGCATAATTTATTCAAATGATAAATCATTTTGATGAAATTTTATTCTTTGAGCTGGATAGTTTGGTTATAGAGTTTTCATCATTCTTCTGAACAATATCATCATCAGCACATAATTCAGGTAGTAGTTATCACAAATCAGTTGTTAGATAAAACTTTGTTACTATATTTATAATTTAAAGTAAATTGTTGTTTAGTCGTTCATAAATGACTCCTTTCAAAGTATTTACACATGATCGTATAACTAGATGAATAATAAAGTATAATAAAGTGTAATAATACCTTAAGCTTGCACAAATATGTATTTATACACAAAATATATGAATAACTTCCTAGTACAAACACTTTAATCATGATTGTACAGTAGTATTATGCAATAAGAATTACTAGTAAATATATCATAATTGATCTAAATTAGAAAAGACATACTACTTGATACAAAGTTGATATAAATAACAATGTTGGAAGAAAACAAAAGTACAACATTTCATTCAATATATCAACTATATAGATATATTTAGTATGAAATGATTTTTTAAATTATCCGATTGTTGATATTCTCGATTGGGTTTTGATCATTCATGTGCAAAGTACCTTGATATAATCATTATGATGTACATTACCATAAAACAAATAGAATGCAGGTAACAATGAAATACAAAATATAAATTTCATCCCATTTTGAACTTATCATTCAAAATTTCCTGCATCACAGAGTTAATGTTCACTTAGGGATTCGAATACAGTAGATTTTGCTAGAAATTTCAATCAATATATCAATAAAAAGATAATGCAAGCCATTATAAATTAAATTGAGATTCATACACGTTGTAAAAGTGAATGGCTATCTGTACTCAATTGCCCAGTGGATAACGCGATATGCGTTTGAAGTTAAAGATGCATTGTTTGAATCCACGAGTTAACATCGAATCCGATGCAAGTATATCTAGCTGATGAGTATCAAATAAGAAGAAACAGACCTAGCCACGTTCTTCTATAATACATGAATATATATATATACTCACTAATTTCATTTTTTATATGAAATAAAGATTCTCTTCATGATTCGTTTTTGAATTTATTCAACATATTCTGGATTCCACGAATGGCTAATATCAAACTTTGCTTAAAATTAATTTAGTAATGAATAATTAGATTTTCAGTAAGCGTATAATACTAAGATGAGGTTATAATACCCGCTAAGACCTTTAAGCCTGTTTTTAATCAGTCAGAATGTAGCCTTGTAAATGGACAGTTCAAGGAACGTTCTATATAATATTTTATGAATTTATTAAAGTCATCTACAGGTTACTCTGTCAACAAATTGAAAAAGCCAAATATTCATAAAATTTCTCTATGAAGTTATGAATAATCTGTTTACTGGAACCTTTATAAAAACTCAAATAGATTTATCAGTATGGGGGTTGTGGAGATTGTTAAGTGTTTGGTTGAGATCATGAATCAATTGATGAAGTCGTGACCAGTGGAGCTAATCCGTGTCGGGTAGAGACAGGTATCTACCTCAGTACAATGGAAGTTGGTCGCGCAATTTCGTGGATTGGTTGATGTTAGACACTAACACCACTGGAAGCCGGCTCAGTGGTCTAGTGGTTAAGTGCTCAGGCGCTAAGCCAGTAGGTCCTGGGTTCGAATCCCGCTCGCGGGATCGTGGATGCGCACTGCTGAGGAGTCCCATACTAGGACGAAACGGCCGTCCAGTGCTTCCAGGTTTCCAACGGTGGTCTAACATCAATTGATTCATGATCTTAATCAAATAGATTTATAAGAATATTTTTGGTTCAAGTTAAGAAATTAGATTTTTATCACAAAATGACATGAACTATATTCCAAATATGCTCTGTAACAACATGGATGAATAAATCTTGCCAAAAAAAAACACAACCCAAGAGATAATACTAAATTAATCCGTTCATAAAATATGTTACCAGTGGGTTAAAGTTTGTCTTAGAAACAATCGTTTAAGTTTACCATTTACGGATAATATCAAACCACCTGTGATATATAATTTAATGGGGGAAGAACTAATCATCTGATATGTTTAACTCTATCACTTATTTTCATGATGGAAAACAATAATCTTATTTTAAATGTTCTGAGGATAATAAACAATTATTTGTCTTGTATATTATACATGTCATAGTGAATTTTACACAAAAGTCTCAAAGTTCCATTCTTGTATTTTGATTGGCTCAACTCTACAATACGTTATACTAAACTTCCAACAAGATAATAATTAAATCAAATAACAAAAAGCTTAAGTGTTACAATCAACTATGGTTGTAAATAGCACTAAGTAAACATGTGTAATTTATGTGAATATTAGTTATTTGTGTAGTAAAATTATTTCAGTGAAATATATAAAAAAAAATACATAAACAACCAGACTACCGTATTGACTCAGATAATTAGTTGATTAGAACTATTTACATTACACCGTTATTTATTGTATTCGTATTATCTGGTATTAATAATAATAGTAATAACAATAATGTTGATTACGTAACCATGACAAAAACAATGAATCACAATTACAAATAAACGTAAAATACAAATCAAGTTAATAATGTCCCCATAAACAAAACACACGGTATATTGATAAATATTTGTCAATAGTTCATCAAAGTCTCACAGAAAGATGAAAAACATTAATTTTTTGTCCACTAAGCCATCGTCAGGTTCAACGTGGTTGCAGGTTAGAATTAATAATAAAAAAAAGGTGAAATGTAACTAGCAATGGAATCCAAGATGCTAGATGTAGCAGCATCTCAGAGTTAATGTTTACTCTAAGACCCAAACCCAATGATGCTCATTTCAAGTGCCATCGTGTTATTCACTAAGATACTGGATTCCACTGCCAGCCACATTTCACTTATTGTATATAAATTTGTGCTATAATGGCTATTTTGAAGCAACCTGCACGAGATGATCATATACCAACCAAGACTGATCGAATTTCAGTAGAAAATATCAACAACAGGATAAACCAAGTCATTCCAAGGTAAATTAAATGATCGGTTTAGTTTAAGTCAATCAAACTATTGGGTATAATATGTTAGTTACAATTTGGAAGTATTGAACTTACTGGTGTTTTTGTATAAGTATATTATTTACAAGGTAAGAAGATTATTCTTCTCGGCTAGAAGATCTATTTGTGATATCAAGCCATTCAGGAGTATGTCTCAATAATTCTGTATCGTTAGCATCCATCACTCTGACAAATTGTATCAC